AAGGAAGGAGGCCACTATGGAGGAACAGCAGCTTTCACACTGTATGCATCTGTGGTTTTTCAGAAGTTGTGTTGGGAAGTATTGAGGGTTTATGTGTGCAACCCCATTTACCCCTCCCCGAAGTTGCCTAGGAATTTCAGGCAGATACTTCTGTAGCAGTTCTTTGCAATCAGATGGTTAAAAGAGTCATCACTCACCAAGCACGAACATCACACCCAGTAAGCCTGGTTCAGTGATGATGCAATTGTGCTGAAATCTGCATATGACGATTCACACCAGTCATTTCAAGCTGGAAAGGACATTTTTCACTTACTGTCAAGAACACCACATCCTGCAAACAAGAATCATGGACAGTAAAAGTACATTGGATACATATATGAGAAGTGCATTATAATGTTATTCCTATGAAGAGAAAAGCCTGAATTGATTTTTAGCTTCAAATGATAAACACAGTTTAATTAATATGAACATTAAAAAGAGTGTTACTTTCAACCTTTGATTAACTTTTAACAGTTCTACTGTCGATAGAAAGACAGCAAAGAAACTTACTATATATAATATGCTTGAGGATGGCTGCAGAAGGCCAAAACATCCTGGAGAAGGGCTGCTGGTCTGCTGAACCTGAGAGCCTACATTGAGAGGCTGATGCCTCCTCTCCTTAAAGAGGAGTCTCCATTATGTAGCGGTGATAAGGGGTGCACATATGTAAAGACTGCAAAGGGAAGTTATGTGGAAAATTAATCACCTACTTCTTTTCACCATATTTTGAGTGTTTGAGATGACCTGGACCCTGTGGGAAAGACTGCATCCAACAGCATTGGAATGCAGTGTGACTTGAGGCCCGATAGCTGGAATAGTGGAGTCATAAAGAGACGGATGTTGGTAGGCAATGGCTTGGTGGACAGGTTATATGCACACCACGTAGAAAAACAGTGTGCCTAGCAGTTCTTCTCTTGTTGTATTGTATTCTTTTCTCCGGGAATGTGTTCACTGTGCTTTTGTGTACATTCCTTGTTTTGGGATCACCTTGCTGTCTCTATGTTGTCTATGTGTTTGTAAGTTTGTGCATCACTCCTTGTGACGTGATGCCTGTAAGTCAGTATAGTGCAGTGAGACAAGCACCTTGGTGATGGCCAATCTTAGGGATCCACTCGCCAATTAGGTGTTCAAACTCCTCATTTTCTGTATGCTACAACTGTCTTCTAACCATCGTCCTGGCCAGGAGTTGTCCTCTTCTGGACTGTAGAGAAAACATTGCCTCCAGTAGTTCATCTGTTGTTAGCCTACTTTCCTTGTGTGTCTGTGTGTATATCCCAATAATTGCTAGGCAACGGCTGTGTTGCTAGGTTAAAGTGACATTGGTAAACACGTTCCTGTCACAGTGAACTCGCATGCAAGAATAGAATAGTTATTGGATGTGTTGTATTTTATGTGGGTCATGTCATATCAGAGAAAAACTTGTGATTAGATCTTTCCAGAATTTCTTGCATGGTATGTGAATGTGTAGTCATATATAGCATTATTAGATATATTAGATTATTATTAGATTATTAGATATATAGCATTATTCGTTTTCCAGAACCTTGCATATTCAGTGGAAGCACGAAGTCTCTGTAGTGAGTTACATCCAGCATCTTCTCATGATGCATGTCAGGCCAACAGTGTAAAAGCTGAGGAAGTGTCAGATGCAGAAGAAGAGAAGTATCCTGTGCCAATAACATTTCAAAGAATAAAGGCTGAACCTGAGGTGAGCTGTGTCTCTGTGTCCATGTTAAGTGATTTTCACAAATATAGGTATCTCTCATTTTAAGAACACTTCATTTACCATGAGTCAAACAAAGTAAGGAAAGTGGTAAGTTTGTCTGAAAAGGTGGAAAGAATAGAAAGGATTTGAGGAGGACAATAATATTATGGCCTGTGGATCTGTTGCAAGGCTACAACTGCAAAATAAGCAACTATACAGCAGCCATTGCTAAGTAACAGCTTGCAAAGAAGCATGTTTCCTGAGGAGCAGTTGCAGTGCAACAGAGATACAGTGTTTTAATTCTTGTTAAATTTAAATTCGCATAGTGGGGGGTGGAGTCCAACTGGGTCCACTTGGCACGGCAGCCACTGATTGGCGTATTGTAGCCTTCCCCAGGTGATTATGATGATGGAGAATTTGGTGGAATGAAGATTGGCAGGGGAAACCAAAGTACTCTGAGAAAACTCGCCTCAGCGCCACTTTGTCCACCACAAATCCCACTTGACCAGACTCGGGATCGAACCCAGGCCGCTGCAGTGGGAAGCAAGTGACTAACCGCTAGAGCTAAGGCGTGGCTTGAGGAACAGTGTTTCCCATATGGTCCATGTTGAGATGTTATAAACAGGGTTAGTTAACTGTTGGAGTTAACCTTACCTCCGACATAGCCCTGTGAATCATGAGAGGTGATGAAAAGAGAACCCAATGTCTGGGGGTATAACTAGGCCACCCTGTTCATGGGTGATATAAATATGGAGACATGGCCTACCATGTTTAGAAAGTCTTTAACCTGAGACATTAAAATATGGTCATGAGTCCTGCAGGACTCGGACTTGAGAATGACTGCTCTGGCAAGGGCCAGCAGCAATTGTAAATGACAGAGCAATCCTGTTATCAGAGAGGATGTTATATAAGGACTATAACTGCAAGTGCTGAGTTTGAAAAAGGAAATACTGCTCATGTGTCTCAAGGGACTAAGCAATTGGTGGTAAACTGCCAACCTTAAAGTAACTCTGATTCTGACCCTTACTCTGACTGTGTTGGAGTTAGTGAGTTAATGAGTGATTTAGAGCAGTGTTTCTCAATCTTTTTTTTTTGCTCGTGGCCAACTTCTGACCTTCTTTCAGTTCTGTGCCCCCCCCCTCATATTGTATAATTATAATAAATGTAATATTGATTATAAATATGTACTTTATCAACTGTTCTTTTATTTATAACAATTATTATTTGTTTATAGCATAAGGAATATTCATAATAAGAAAGGGGTTTATTAACAAAAACCTTTATTTACAATAGAATTCTTACTTATATAATGTTCTGTTTATTTACAGTATATAATTATGCTCCTGACAAAAAATATTACAATAATATTAGTGTCCCTTAGGTTTAGTGAGATCCTTGCGGCTGATGAGAAGAAGCACAATAATAGAACTTTCGCAGAAAAATGTCGTCTTCCAAACACTTTGAATACTGAATCGAAGAACACCTGAAATTTACTGAAAAGGTGGCGGTAAAACTCATGAGATGAGGGGGAGATATTTAGGAAAATAAAGGATAATTCGTTAGGGCTCTACCCACTCTGAGAAGGCGCATACCTGTTTAGCAGTACTTCGAATTCCAAGATCTAAGGTTGTGGTTTAAGTAAGGTACACAAAAACGAGGATATTGAGTTATTGTGTTATTTTATGTACTGACCATTTGGCGTTTTTATTTTTTTTTATATTATTAATAATTTTATTTTAGAAGTGAAAATTTTGTGGCCCACTTATCAGTTTCCATGGCTCTCCATTTTTCCAAATTATGTCTGTGGCCCCACAGAAATGCGTCTTGGCCCACTGGAGACCTTATGGCCCCCATTGAGAACCACTGATTTAGAGGACTGTTGTAGTTCAGACATTGTTTGCTATTTCTGGTAGAACCTAGTAACTGAGTCAAAGGAGAATTCAGGAGCCCAGAGGAAAGGGTATGTCTGCTTTTGTAATCTGCTACCAAGCAATGGCTAGTGACGAAGTGACTGTGGACACCAGTGGGTCTGTAATAGTGAACTGTAAAATGTAGACATGTATTGTACCAAAGAGTCGAATCCAGCCATCGATTTGAAACCCATCTATAGATACATGCCATAAAAGTGTGACAATATGAAGACATGTTCAGCCATGGTAATGAAGCTGCTTTGTTTTGTTGCATCGGCCATGTGAGAATAATTGTTTTTAAAACCAAATGTTTTATTTCCCAGTAAATATCCTAAACAGGTACTACTGTTTTTATTTTAATGCTTATTTACGACTAAAATATAGCAGTAAAAATGGTGAGGGTCCTCTCTGGAACTCACACTTTGAAGACTTTTAGTAGGGTGAATTGCCTTTGTGGAATGAGGGATACCTGTTTTACTTTCATATCTCATCTGTTGTCTGCACACAGGAGGATTTTGAAGAGCATTTTCTGAAATGTCTCAGGATGATTGCTGTCTGTTGAATGTTACTAGTGGTGTACTGTTTCTGTTTTCTCTAAGGAAATCTAATATACTTGAAATTCAGTACAGTAAAACCTGCCTTAAACGGACCGCTTATTAAACGGAATTTGTCTTAACACTTCGCGGACTGGCAATTTAAATATTTAAATCACCCTGGGGACCGGCATTTTTTTTACTTACTACCGTAACTTGTGCACTGTTCACTTTAAAAATTAATATAAAATCTCCTAATTAATTTTATGAACTAAAAATTTTTGAGAACGCTTACCAATGCTCCTAGAAGTGCTTGAGGGTGTGATATTTCTCGAAACATTCCACTCTGTGAAGTGGCATTACACAAAACTTGCAAATGTAGACAGTCGTACTCCTTTTCTTGTGAACTGCACAAACATGGCATTGCCTAGAAGGATGCTGCCCCTGAAATGTTCACTATTCACAATTTTCGTGAGGGTATGTTTCTACATATCACCCGAGAGTCGCCCAGGGGGGTCAAAATGAGGCCTGCATGGGGTGGGAGTAGATGGGCCTGGTCGCAGTAAGACTGTGTCTGCCGCCACCATGTGGTCTGTAGCTCAGGCCTTTGCCACATTCAGCAGAAATGCCTTGTATTTTCAGTTCTGAATTAAGGTTTAGATTTTTGAAAACCAAGAATGAATTGAAAATGGCACAATTTATAAGCCACAAAGCAACTTTCTTTGTCCACTTTACTGTTTTCCGAGGAAGAGAATAATAGGCCAAGTACTGATCGACTCTATCAACTCCCATACTACCAACAAGAGAAATGAGATGCTGTGAAATTTCAAGTGGGAAGTTCTCAAGCATCATCTGTATAGCCCCGACGTTGCTGCAAGTGACTTCCATTTGTTTGGTCCTCTTAAACATCAACCTTCAGCTGAACATTTTCCTGACGATGAAGCTGTAGAAAGGCAGTCACCGGCTCGTTCCGACAGCAGCCCAAAGAATGTGTTGCTGATTTTCAGGGGATTGTGAAATGATTGGACAAGTGCCTCAATGTACACTGAGATTATGTTAAGAAATAAAAGCATTTTTCATATCAGTACTCTCATTGATTTAAGTTCTGTATCCATTTCTATCTTACTTACTGACTTACCCTTGTATTTCAGAGAAAATCTAGAGAAGCAAAAATCTGCCACATACTGCTTGACCATCTAGTGCAGTGACTACTACACCATAGGTTTGCCAACATCCGTAAATGTTGAAGATTGTAATATTTTTGAACATTGATGCAGGCTGTATCCATGTAATAAGAGAGAGTTGTCATTATACAGAGGATCTGTGAGAGGATCAGTAATGATTCTGCAAAGATTTATGTATGACATTATACGGACATGCTAGACATTACCCATTATCTGACGTATACTGAATAAACTTAACACTTCAGGAGATGCCTGTGTTCCTGCCTTCAGGTGTGTCATTGTAATGACACATTTGGATTTGGAGTCATGTGGACCAGCATGCAGGATAACAAATTGGAGTCAGTGAAGCCATGTGCTCTGGTGTGGCAGTCCTTGACTTACATGAGGAAGGAGGAAATTATGCTTACATGCCTTTGAATCAGGCACAGTTGCCTGAAACGTATGCATCTGTTGGAACATGCCCCCACTCATGATTCTACACAGTGTGGTGTGCTCAATACAATTTTACAGATACAGAAGGAGCGCTAATGTTCTGACAAATGCGGAACTTCTTCATGGTCAGGGAACATTATGTGGCATCCTAGGAGATGACTTAACATGGATTTGTTCATGGTAGGGGGTTGGCCATATCTGTATAACTGACTCTGTTCTATTCTTCTCTTTGAGTCATTTTATATATATACAGTAAAACTTGGTTATAGCAACATCGGTTTCTGTGACACCTTGTCTATTGCTTCAAATATTCAATGGTATGAACTAATTCCTCATAAAGCAACTGTTTTTATACCTTGCTTAGTACGACATGCACAAATGCATCAACCTCGTATGTAACGTCATTTTCATTCCTGAATTTCTCTGATAT